AATAAAGGAGAGTAGATGTTTCAAGAGACAAGTCAAAAAATTACTTTTGGCTAAGGGTTTTTACTCTGTAGAGGAATACTTCTCATCTCCTCTGTTTAATGGTCAATAATTTTAGGTTTTAATTTTAAGTTTTTTAACTTTATTTTTACCTACCTACTTTGTTGATGATTTTAATTTTAATTATATTATATTTGGAAGCTTTGTTATCAAGATTTGTATCTTTAAACAATAAACCATATTTTGATTTGATTTGAAGCTAGAGAATGTTAACCAACAAAAAGATTTGGGAGTGCACGTAAGCCAAGATCTTGAATGGGAAACACACATAGGCCGAGTTGTGAAGAGAGCAAATCAGTTGGTGTACCTAGTAAAAACGGCTTTTACCAATCACTCTATCCAAATGATAAAAAAAGTATATACAACCTACATAAGGCCCAAACTTGAGTACGCACACACAGTCTTGAATCCGTACTACTGCAAGGATATAGAGCTGCTTGAACGTGTGCAATGAAGAATCACAAGAATCCCAACTGAAATGCATAATCTTCTATATGATATCAGATTGCAAAGATTTAACTTAACAACAAAGAAAGAAGGGAAAGAGGCGACTTGATAGAGACCTAAAAGATCCTGTGTGGACACTACTTCCCAGAACTCATCTAGGGATCGTTCCCAACGCTTTTCAAAAACTAACCCAAACCAACCAGTACAGGGGGGCGGATGCTGGTTAGTAATGACGAAGCTCCCAGGGTTGTTTACATAAAATCATTGGGAAATCATTATAGAGGATTGAAATTCGAAGGACAAATTAATGGAGAATTTAAAAACCTTTACTTTTGATACAGGTGCTGAGTCTATAATTAGAAGAACATTAGTCAAGTTTCGGGCAATCCAACCGCTCACTAGAAACCTGCTGTCACTACGAACAGTCACGGGCGAATCAGCACCAGTTCAAGGAGAGGCTATGGTTCAGCTTACTTTTGGATCTACCACCTTTAGGCACAGAACATTAGTCGCCGATATAGAAGATGATTTTATTTTGGTAATGGATTTGATGGTTTCTCTTTCGATCCTTCTATGATGATCCTTAAATTTGGTAATGAAGAATTTGTCCTAACTACACAAAAAGAATCCCAAGCCGTTAAGATCCTGGCCACAACCCCAGTGAGGATTCCAGGAAGTACTGAGGAGATCATTTGTGGAAAATTCGAAACAAACCCTGGGTGCTGCGTTGCACTAGCACATAATTTTATTGAAGATAAACCAGAAAATTTCTTGTGCCAATGTTTCTTCTGAAACAGTAAAAATAAAGGAAGGAGATATTCTTGGAACTCTCGAGCCAGTTAAGCAAATCTACAGATAGACTTCAAGAAGCTACTTATTTCATCTTGAAAGAGGCAGACATATTTGTGATGGATAATCAAACCGGACGGACCAGCTTAATTCAACACAAAATTAAAACTGGACTGGCACACCGATAGGCAACTACCACAACGTATGCCAGTAGCTAAACAACAGGAAGTAGAGAACCAAATTGATAGAATGCTTCAAGAGGGAATTATTGAAGAGTGAAATGGTCCATGGTCTGCGCCAGTAGTATTGGTTACAAGGAAAGATCGAAGTCTTAGATTTTGTGTGGACTACCGTAAGCTCAATGACGTCACCAAGGACAGCTTTCCTCTCCTGAAGATAGGCGATACATTAACAACTCTTTCGGGCTCCTTGAAATTCGTTTCAAGAACATCTCAATAACCTGAAAGAAATTTTTGACCGCTTCCGGAATGCCAACTTAAAATTCAATCCAAATAAGTGTTTTTTATTAAAAAAAAAAAGTGGAATTCTTAGGTCACGTGGTATCTGAAGATGGCATACAAGTTATGGAAGGACAGATAGATGCCACGCGACAAACATGAACTAAGGAGTTTTCTAGGATTATGTTATTATCAAAGATTTGTGGAAGGATTCGCCAATATAGCTGCTCCGCTTCATCGATTAACAAAAGAAAAATCAACATTCAATTGAACCCAAGAATGCGATTCCGAATTTAGGAAATTAAAAGGAGCATTATGTATGTACAAGCCCAGTGTTGTCCTCCTGTCCTATCCTGATCAGAAAGACATGTTGATTTTGGACACAGATGCAAGCAACACCAGTATTGGAGCTGTCCTTTCACAAATCCAAAATTCACCAGAGCATGTCGTAGAGTACTATAGCAAAACCTTATCAAAGTTGGAACGAAATTATTGTGTCACCAGAATAGAGTTGCTTGCCATAGTAAAAGCAGTCGACCACACCCATGACTATCTCTACCAACGTAAGTTTCTAATTCGAACAGATCACGCGGCTCTTGGAAGACCAGATACGACTTAAAGGCCAATTCAGCTGGATTTCTAGAAGGTGATTTGGTGTGGCTGTACAATCCAATAAAAAAGAAAGTAGTGTCGCCGAAATTGTCCTCAGCTTGGGAAGGACCCTGCAGAATTATCACGAGGATCAATTATTTGGTTTATACAGTTCAGCGCAACACCAGGAGTAAGGTGAAAGTTGTACATTTGGACATATAGACGAAATATCATGGGCGCGAACCTTAAGAGGAGGGTAGTGTGATGCGTTCGCCAGCATGTACAGAATTTAACTTGAAATCGAGAAAATACTATATAAAGGTAGGCATTAGTTAGTAGTTTAAGTTTAAGATTGACTGTGATATGATTTAGATAGTGATTATTCTTGAGAGTTGTAAAGAGTTTAGTTGTTTGAGTTAATTAGTGAAGTAATTAATATCGGAGTGTATAGTAACGTGGAATAAATTATTGTTGTGTTAGTTGGACTTTGATTTTGGAATAAAAGAACCCAAGATTTCTGTCACGCACCCCAGTGCCGTGACAATAATATAAAGTTAATGAATTACATTTTATTCATGAAAATGAAAAAAATCAAAGAGCTTTTTTTTGATTTCATGACAGGATAAAACAAACAAAATGCATTTTAGTTTAGAGACAGTGAATTCTAATGAATTATAAAAACAAAACCTTCCAACTGTTCTTTTTCATTTGAAATCTACATGTATACAAATGATATTTTATGTGTTAGTGTTATTCTGAATAAGGCCCAGATTATTGATCTTCAGATAAACTTGCTGGTAACTATTTGCAAGATAAATTCACCGTTTTATAATTCTATTTGTCGGCGGCTAACTGGCCGACTAATGAGATTACAAATTGCGTTTTTATCCGTCAGTTTGCATACCTGACAGTTTATCAGAAGATGAATAAACCGGCCCTAAATGAAAATAAATTCACAATGTCATGAACTAATAATATGAATATTACATAATATGTAATAAGTACTGAGGATAAACAATAATATGGATAGATTTACCAGCATATTTTCCCTGGATAAGAAATAACGCTAACTTTTGTTTACTCAGGATTTATTACATTATCATATACAACTAAAAAGATGAAAGTACAATAAAGAAAAAAATGTGCACCTTATGACAAGACTGGCATAATGGAAAACACTTGAATGTTTTACGCTTGTGGCACTGTCTGCAGCTCTGTTAAATCATAAAAACAAGGTATTGTTTATTTAGTTCAAACACACAGAAGTAAGAAGTTATCATCATTGTTGCCGGTGCATTATCATTATCTACTCGAGGCTGGAATAAATAAAAAAAATAAAATACATATTATTAAAGACTGCTGAAATATGTCAGGTTTTTGTAATTTGTGCACCAAAAATACTTACCTTCATGAGATTTGCTTAGAAGGAGGAAAAGTAAATATTTTTTTTTTTTATAATCCTTACCTGCTATTGTCTTTTCTAAAAAACTTCTAGAGTAATGAAAGAAAAGTCTGATGAGAAGCGAGGCTTCTTGGCCATGCACAGGGACTTATAGTCAGTTTTCTGGGTCGATAGCCCGTAGAAAGCTCTAATTGGATAGTCTCCCTTTTTCTTACCTTCCCCACCCTATAGTCTTGTGCCACTTCTCTAGACATCCTAATAACAAAAAGCTAAGATACAATTTGCCAGGGAACGCAAAATGATCAGTTGCTAAAGAGAAGTCTTGTTACTCCTTACTTCTATAAAATAAGAGTATGTACTTACTTCTCTGAAGGTTCCAAATCATTATTAAATAATAACAGCTTAGATACCTAATGCGAAAAAAAAAATCTGCTTCCTAATAATTGAAACAAAAAATTGAATTGAGCAGCCTTCAATAATACGATTAATATGTATAAGAAAAAAAAAAAAAAAATCTTACCCACTTTGCTTATTAAATTTACCTGATTAAACGGGAACTTAAAAACAGCTTATGAAGAGAGATGTCATTTTCTGTCCTTATTGAAAAAAATAATTACTGAAAGCCCAGTCCACCCTTTCAGATTGTAGAAAAGTTCGTTTAAAATAATGCAGCCTCATGAGCAGCTCATAAAACACTTTTTTGTCTTTTTATTTAAAGTCCACACACTTATATTTCATAGCGAATCTATATTTTTGTTGAAATATAGATACCCCAAGTTCTAATACCAGTGCAAAGTTTTCTAGTAACTAAATTTAGGTCCTTATTATGGATCGGCATGGAAGATTGATTAAGAGCTTTATAAATGGAGTATAATATGCTCGAAATAGGGAGCTCAGATAAAGATATCTGTAACAATAAAATCATTATTGAGAACCTCAGACTTTTGAGGATGCTGGAGCAGAAAGATATAGTATGATTTCCATATTGAGATACATATAAATTAATAATAATTATGCCCTTAATGTTCCTTATGTTTGAAATGTATTTCTATTGTTTTGAATGCATAGTGCAATGAAAGTTTTGATTGAGGTTGTCCTTAATTATTTTTTTAAAACAGAAAAACGTGATGATGCTTATTGATGTATAACATTTTTCAAAAATATCATTATAAGTAGAGACACCGATTAAAGGACCAACTGTTACAGATTGAGGAAGAATTTTAAGGTGCTTCTCCAGAAAAATAGATAAGGAATACCTACATAGGAATTTTAGATTTAATATTTTCAGAGGCTTTAAAAGATAACTAAAAAATTAAATAATTAGAACAACAACGGTATAAATAGATACCAAGAAATAATTGAACCCAAAATATTTTTATCATCCATGAATAATTAGTGTGCATGAATTCTTATCAGAAAGGCAATGTTCAACATTTATCACAAACAAATTTGCTGAATCATCCAACAGAACATGTTAAAACTTGAACGTTCCAAAGAAGATAATTATTTATACCCCAAAATATGCTTAATGACAACAACCCTGCAGATACACTAAAAAGGAACCTAAAATTATTAGTAATATCTACCTGAAAACATTTTTCACAGTATCTGTAAAGCGGGTTGCGGTTTTCACCCTTGCACTGCACACAAGTGGCAAAGTCTGTCTTTCCAAATGACATTTCTTCCGATGAACTATCCGAGTCTTCCACATCAGTTATCCAAGTTTCCAGGGAACTGTCGCAAATGGCGGCTGCTGCAGCAACTAAGATCATATCCTATAAAGACATAAAGTTAATATAGGAATTTTCAATAGCGGCAATAGTTTCTTACTTCAGTTACTTCTGAATCTGTTGTTGAAAAATCAAAATTATCTTTGTTGCTCGCCGATAAGCTGGCAACTTCATACTCAAACTCCGAATTTTCGGTGCCTGTTCCATTTTTACTTTCAGTGTCTGAAGTGTCTCCGACAAAATCTGAAATATTCGCAATTAAATTTACAATCTTCTTGAAACCTTGGTGCAACAATCTTCTTAAATATGCAGGGTCCTACCGGTCTCTTTAGCTTGGACACTGGCAATGCTTTCAGTGTCATCATCGGTAGCTTTAGAGCTTTCACTTTCCAAACGGTAATAGCAAAGTCTGGGACGTTTTGCTTCTATTATCTCTTTTATGTCCAAGTTTAGACCTTCTATAGTCCTTTTCCTCCATGGTGACTCTGGAATAAGTAATTAACATATTTTTATAAAAAAAAATCAGATTATTTTAGGCCTGTAAAAATAAACCAAAATAAGACAAAATGACCATCTAATTATAATAACATGCAGAATTCGGAATTATACTGTATAATAATTGGTTTTATACTCTATGCGTATTAAACTTGAGAGTCTGGAATAGAAATGCCTGAAGAAATACTAAATTATTTTACCCTAGTTTCCTTGAATTTTATGAGTAATGTAACATCTTACCTATTCACGAACTTAGCTGAGTCAAGGAAGAAAAAACTAAATGAAATATTTTTCCCTACATTTCTCATATTTTTATGTCTATTTCAGATCTTGAATTTTCTTTATTTTTCTATTCCAGGCTACGAAATCTTCTTTATTTTCTTATTCAGAGAAGAAAATCATAAAGAAAATTCAAGAGCCTGGAATAAACAAAAATTTGACAGCTAAAAACAGAATGAAAAAAGAAAAACAGAGTGAAACAATACCTTACAATGACATGTCTTTTTTCTTCCACTCTGTGAAAATGTAGAAGCTGCATGGAAACTTGGCTAGATTTAGTTGGCCTTAGTTTGAGCCTAATTATTAAGTTACAATCGGATTGAAACTAACAAAATGAGTTGTCTTTTTGGATAACAAAAAAGGGACGTTTCACATATTTGTTTTGAGGTACAAATATGCGAAATGGGATTGATAAGTATTTCCCAAATGGATACAGAAAAAATTGAAATTAACGAAATAGTTATTGATGTTACAAAGCCCATAATCGCGAGTTAGATTAGTTTTCAGTGAGGTTTTCAATTTGTCGAGGTTGCGGTTTGCAATCATCAGCCATGTTCTGGATTTTTCGTTATACTGCAGATTTTGAAAAACAATCATTATGCTTTGTTCAGAACGAATTTAGTTGCTTGTATATGAGAGTTCTTTTTATAATGTATTTTTGGGTTATCGCCAGAAACTACAACTGTTCCTATAGAGACCAACATATCTTTTATTGTCAAATTGAATGATTCTTGGTATTTTCAATTTCTGGTATTTACCAGTTACCCTAGTACTAATCTATGGTACTAATTTGGAACTATAATATAGGGAGTTTGTGCAGCTTTGAAAAAAAAACACCTTATATTCATTTATTTATTTTGTATAGGTACAGGGTGTCCCCATTCAACTGGTCAAAAATGTTAGGGTATATAGAGGAACCATAGAGAAGTAGTTTGAGATAGGACACCGATGGTCGGAAGGGCGTCGTTTCCAAAATACAGGATGTTGAAATTTCACAAAAAAATCGAATTTTTCCCTCTGTATCAAGAACGCTTTTAGCAATTTTAATAAAATTTCCAGGATTCAAATGATAGGTGGTGATGCAACTTTTTACGGAATTACAGTTGATTTGATTTGTCCAGGGTCAGAATTTTAGGGCAATAAAAGTTTTAAGGTTCTTGCATGGATTTCATTTTCTCACCCGGAAATATAGGTCCTTTTTTGTTGAAATCAGGGTTGGCAAATATCATGATATTTATATCCAATATCCAAATATCCAATTATCCGATACTTATATATCGATATATATCGGATATATATCAAAATTTGGATATTTATTTATATTTTTAATTACTTAAATTAGTTCATCTGTTTTCTGTTATCTATATTATTAAAATTCAAAATAAATTTATGGTAAATTTAACAAAATGTTAAAAACATGCAAAGTTGGTATGGCGATAAAAAAAATTGTGCTCCTATCTCCTATAATATGTATAAAAACGTAAAGTGTAGTAGGTAAATAAAAATTCGAGTTTAGGAATATGAAAACATTTACTTATGTCATTTATACTACTTAAGTTTGCCTTAGGCCGTGATTCAACAACAACAAAAAAAAGACAACTTAGGGCCGGTATTATAAAACTATTTTGACAGAATAACTAGAAGTTAACTTCTGGAATGACGGTATTTCTCATAGTAACTCCAGAAGTTAACATTTAGTTATCTCGCTGTCAAAATAGTTTCATAATACTTGCCCTAAAAAACTTGATATTTCTTATATACGTAAATAAAAATAAATAAAATAATAATTGATAACTGACGTAATATAGACTGTTTCGGCCGAGATCCTTGTGATTTCCTTCTCACACAATACAACTACGGCCGTTAAACTTCTCAACATAAAATAATAAAACTATAAAATAAGAAAAGAAGGCCATACACATAATATTGATATATATCATGATATTTATAGCATAAATATCATGAATATATGAAGATATATATCAGGATATTTATCGCTGATATATATCCTGCCAACCCTGGTTGAAATTAAATGATTACCTATTAAAAAAAAAAAAATCGATAAACAGTGGCGTACCATTTTTTCTACAAACAATTTAATACATGTGTTGCAAGTCCATCCCTGGAAAAATCAAATCAACTGCAATTCCCTAAAAATTCTCATCACCACCTATCATTTAACTCCTGAAAATTTCATCAAAATCGCTAAAAGCGTTTTTAATACAGAGGTAAAAATTCGAATTTTTTGTGAAATTTCAACACCCTGTATTTTGCAAAGGACGCACTTCCGACCATCAGTGTCCTATCTCAAACTACTTCTCTAGGGTTCTTCTATATACCCTTATATTTCTGACCAGTTGAACGGGGACACCCTGTAATCAGCAATAGAGCTGAGAAAAAAATAGTTTTCCATTCCAAGGTGCGAGGAGAATTCAAATATATTTGAATACCTCCGAGCACCTAAAAAGGCTTCTGCAGCGTGTAATGTATCAAACTTTTCATTCTTCCCCTTCAGAACTGTCAAAGATACTTTTGGAAAAATTATCTGAAGTTACTTTGGGTATTTAGTTACTCATTCAAAAAAGGATCTCAAATACGTATCTTAAGTTACTTTTTAAAATACTTAATAAGATACTTATTAAGATACTTTATTATTACTTCCAAAGCTATTGCTGTTCAGTTTATTTGGGCCACAGGTTTCGGATTCAATTTTAAAAACCAGAATTTTTATAGTTTAAAAATCCCAAATTCGAGAATGAGGTTCAAAATCGCAGGACATAGAAAGTTATCACAGTTACAATCACAAATCATAGTTACATTTTTATAGAATATAATGGATAAATTGCGACGTGAACTATTGAAGTATAAAATCGTCAATCAACTCTTTTGTTAAATGAGTGATGTACACTAACTTATTCACAGAACGGTTGGGCGAGTGGAAATAAATAATACATAAAACGTAAGCTTGATGTTGTTTGAAGTTTGAACCAGTTTTATCTTTTTGGGTAAACGTCTCAAGACTTTTTTCACGGTAACTTATACTTTTCGTTAACTTAGATTAGACTTTTCAGTGTCTACCTACTTCTAAGTGTCTAAGATACTTTTTGGTATCCAAGATACTTTTTTAAGATACAAGTTACAGATTCTTTTGGAAAGTAACTAAGATACTAGATACTTTTGCCAAAAAATAAAAAGTATTTAAGATACAGTATCTTAGATACTATAAAGTAACTAAGATACTCTTAAGTAACTAAGATACTTTTTTTTCTGACAGCTCTGTTCCCCTTCAAAAATCGTGAATAGGCATGCGGAAGTGAAACATACTAGTAGCGAAATTGAAAGTAACTACTAGCGTCACTTTTGCTTTCGCTCGCCTATGCGAGATAAAAAAATCTACTTTCGTAGGGGGGAGAATGAAAAAATCATTTGAAGGTGCCATTAAAGCATGAAATAAAAACTTAGTCTCACCAATTTGAAATTTGACACGGGGAACTTGACAATTTCTTTAATTGGTGTGAAGCGAGGTGTGAAGATAGTAATTTGGCTCTAAAAAAAGAATAAGTGCAAAGTTATGACTTTTCATAAATCTAAAAATCCACATATTTTCAATAACTTAATAAATGGAATTGAACCAGCATTTTTCTGGATGATGATTGAATTTTTGCAAACATATTGAATGAGTAACCAATAAAGCCATACGATTATAAGGATTCGTTATGCATAACTTAAGAGATTTTAACTAGGATTTTAGTAACATTTACACCTTTACACCGGAATTGATGAATTAGACTTAGAATTTATGAAAAGGCTTCCTGAGCAGTGCCAAGACCTGATGGTGTCGGCCATAAATGATTTGTGGTATTTTCCCAAGCAATATAGATATCAAGGATCATTCCAATTCACAAAGGTGGTGACAACAATGAACCCTCAAACTTCAGACCCATCGCTGTGTTGTCAACCGTTTCAAAAATAATGGAAGCAATCATTAAAAACATTCATAGGTAAATACCATATTTTACACAAATATCAGTTTGGCTATTAGAAAAATGAAAGCACAGCAGACGCTATCGTAAATTGCATGGGGCGCATACATGAAGCAAGAGACTCAAATGAAATAATTGTAATGGTGGGTCTGGATCTGGAAAAAGCGTTCGATTGTGTCAATCAAAAAAAATTATTATCAAAATTGACTTCCTATGGATTTTGTGGGACAATAAGTGCATGGTTTGAGAAACTAAAAATCAAAACTGCCACGTCATTAGATCACAGATCAAAGAGTTAAATAAAGTATGGTGTTGCACAGGGATCTACTTTAGAACCTGTGGAAATGTTAGACAGCTGTTTTCATACAAATAAACTGTCGCTGAACATCAGAAAAACCAGGTGCAATCATTTCAGCAATCCGACGGAAAACAATGGAATTCTCTTGTGGGGTCTGTCCCCATCAGTAAATAATCCAGAAACTATATTCCTATCACAGAAAAGAGCAGTTCGCTTGCTCAAAGGAATATGCAGTCAGAAAATACATTGCACGGCATTGTTCAGTAAGAAAACCAAAAACTGAAGGTGAAATTGAAAGGAATGGAAGAAAGAGTGAATCTTCTTAAGCAGAGAAAAGGAAAGAAACGTAGTGGTTTCAGGGATACCAAAACAAAATGAAGATGTAAGTGAGATTATCAAGAAGGTCATCAAAGCTATGAAGATTACCATG